TTATTCTAAGTAAAATATGGGATATGGCTGATCCACAATCACGGGGTTCTTTAGATAAATCTGGTTTGTTTGTTGCATTAAAGCTATGTGCATTAGCCCAGACAGGAAAGGATTTGAATATGTCTAATTTAAGCCTTGAATTGCCACCACCAAAAATGGTAAATTTATATATATTTACCATTTATGTTTTTACGATTGGTTTTTACAAATGTTGCATTTTTTTTTTTTTTATTTTAGGGAGATATTCCAGTTGTTCCGCAAAAGACTATCACCAATGCTCTACCTGTAATAACATCTGTTAACAATGGAGATTGGTCAATTAATCCTACAGAACGAGCAAAATATGATCAGCTTTTTGATAGTTTACAACCATCTAATGGATATATATCTGGAAATAAGGTAAAAGGTGTTCTTATGGATAGCAAACTTCCTTTGGACACTCTTGGTAAGATTTGGGACTTAGCAGATATGGATAAAGATGGTATGCTGGATAGACATGAATTTGTGGTTGTAAGTATTATTATTTTTTCATTCGTGCCAAATTTTTTTATAAAGAATGATCCATTTAAATTGAACATGATGAATATTTTACTTATTTTTATGAAGATTAATTGATATAAGAAAGATATATAGTCACTTTAAAAAAATTATGCAATTAACAACATGCAAGTATATACTTTTTTTTTAATACAACTACATGATTCTTCTACATTATTCAATTTGTTTCATTATTCTATGCATAATAGTTAAGATAGAGTTATCAAAAAATGAATAGTTACAAGATATATGTCAGAATATGCTAGAATAAAGTATAATATATCTTGTAAACTATTAATTTTTTAATAATTATATCTTAACACTTTTATATGTAGAATAATTAGAGGAACCATGTAAAAAAAATCACAATTCCATTTAAAAAAGTAGAGGAGCCCTTTATATTCTTTCAGCACTTCTATCTAGGAGAAAAAAAAATGTGATCAAAATATGTCGTAATCTCTCAAAACCATTTCACTTTTATTTGAAACATTTCGTATCAAAAATAAATATTCAAGGTGTTCGATTTAAGTGAATCATTCTATTTATGTTGTGGTATAATTATAAAAATAATATAATAGTATAGTATTTAGTATTAGTATTAATATTTTAATTTTAAATGTTTCACCGAGATATATTTTGGATAATAAATGTTATTGTATTTATTATTTTCCACAATAGAATGACGATAAAGAAAAATTTATCAATTAAGTTTACTTTTTTATCTATTTAATTAGGCCATGCATCTTGTATATAAAGCATTGGAAAAATATGCAATACCAAGTGTGCTTCCTCCAGAATTAATGCCACCTGGTAAACGGAAAGACATTCCTAAAACTAAATCTCCTATATTAATGGACATGGCAATTGTGACATCACCATCATCGCAATCATCATCTATTCCACCTTTACAAAATACAGCTGTAAAGAGCTTGACAGGGTTGGAGGCTGTAAAAGTATTTATCATTTGAATTGTAATTTAAAAATTTATAATATTTATTACATTCCTGCATTATTTAAGACTGCCAATACTTTTTATACTACATATTCTCAGACAAATACACAACAATGGGTAGTTTCGGCTGAGGATCAAATAGCTGCAGAGAAATTATTTTTACAAGCTGACATGGATAGGGATGGATTTGTCTCTGGTTTAGAAATCAAAGATGTCTTCCTTCAAAGTGGACTTCCACATCCTGTATTAGCCCATATATGGTAAGAACAATATCATTTAATCACGGATAATTTATTAAAATTTATCAATAATGATATTAATGGAAAGATTTTAATAAATTAGGAGTTTGTGTGATATTTGTCAAAGTGGAAAATTAAATAAGGAACAATTTGCCATAGCTATGTGGCTTATCAAACAAAAACTCAATGGCATAGATCCTCCAGCAAGTTTAACTCCTGAAATGATACCGCCTTCTATACGGAAAGCTGGGGAAACTATAGTGGTAATTTTATTAAAATATATTTTTTCTCACTTATAATATATCAAATTTAAAGCAAGTTCATTCCATTCTTCTTGCATGCATGTATCTATATTTATCTTATAAATTATTAACAATAAGCAGTTTAATTTATATAACATTTATGAACTTATTGATATGTTGTATATGGAATTTGTTTTTTGAATGCTCTCCAAAACATTATTAAAACTACACTAATTATGATTATGGCACCAATGATGATAATATGGTGATTCAATTTGAATTCTGTTTCTCCAACTACATTTAATTTTATTATTCCAGCAATTTCATTATTTTGCCAACAACTAATAATAAAAAAGCTTTTAAGTTATTGTATTATTACTCAATTGTTAATAAATTTACCTGTATATATTAGTATCTTCAAATTTTAGAGATTCAAATAATATTTGCATTTGAGGATTAATATAAATTCTTCCATTTGATTGGAGTTTAATGAGAGATGGAATTATCTTTTTATTATTAATTCTCCAAATAATGGGAATATCCGCATTCAGTGTTCTAAAATAGCATATTACTTTTTATATTTATCTCTAATGAAACAAAATTAAAATTCTTATTTGCTATAAGTTTACCCTGGACAAACAAGTTTGACTTTTTTATTATATTTTTCATAAATTACGCTATGTATAATTGATGCTAATGGTTTGGGTATGTTTTGAATCATAGAAAATATACCAGCACTATTATTTGCGCTTTCTAGAATATTGCCTTTTTCATCACGTATCTCAAATATAATGTTTTTCTGACATTTTTTCTATTACAAAAGTAATGTTTATTTTAATTGTTTGCCTCTACACATTTAAGTTTATTATTGCAATCATATTAGATTATGATAGTAGTATATTGTGTATATCTTTTTTGTACTGCATAATGAAATAATTTCTTTGCATATTAATATTATGTTTATATACATTGATAAAATATATGGAAAATTATCTTTCTGTTTTAATTTTTAACTTCCTTCAATAGAATTACTATATAATGTCAAATTTAAATGAATAGTTATAAAAACTTAATTTCTATTAAAAATTTAAGACATGTATGTATTATATGTTTATTTAATATTGGGTAAAAATTATCTTTTTAATTATTAAAAAAAAATTTTTGACATTTTTCTGATTTACTTGAATATGAACATTGTACGCAAAATAACTAATTTATCAATATATAATAAGAAAAAGATTTATAATTTCTTCCTTTAATATCATAATTTAATATGGCTGCAGTAGAATGTTATATATATTACTTAATATACATACTTTGCAATAACGTTTCATAATTTCAGTTTTTCTATTTTCGATAACAGGAATTAGTCGCACTTCCTTTGGAAGAAGTCTTGATTTACATGGTAATTTGTTTTTAAATAACAGAAACGTCATTTTTAATTGATCTTTTAAAGTTGTATTTGTTATATTTGTGTGTATTGTATTTTCATATATTGAATTCCATTCATATTTTTTGGCTTAAAATTAAACAAGAGTCTTGACGAGAGAAAACTTAAAAAAAAATTTGACTTTTTTCTTACCTTTCTTTATATCTTGCTCCAAATGTCGTATTTCATTCATTGTTGATACACTTTTATCAACAAGATATCTCTGCTCTGTCTTTACGAGAGAAACTGTGCAATAACCATATCGCAATTTTATTCCAACTATGTCGCATGCGGAGCAAGGACTCCATGTTGTCCAAGTAGTATAAATCTTTAACTCATATTCCCGCACATTTTCCAGTGCTGTTTGTAATGCATGAGATGTTCTGTTTGAATATACATTTGTCGTCTCCGAATCACAATCAATATATAGATAATAAACCGATCCCATAGTATTTTCTATTTCGCACCAATATATTCCTGCTTGTTCTAACTGAGAATTAATATTATGCATACTAATATTTATGTTAATGTTATTGAAAAGTTCTATTTAATAATAATATTAATTATTAATTTATATTAAAAAATCTGCATGTGTCACTTTTCATAATTATATATCATATATTATCTAAATTTATACTTTGACATTGTATATGACGATATATCGATTATCTGGTGAATTGACAATATGATCTGTATCCTGCAACATACTTTCAGTATTGCCGCTTTCACTGGTACGATTAAAATGCCATTCTATTAAAGTCATGTGCATCTCTATCGGCGAGATACAAATTTTGCATTCTAAACTGTAAACCAATTTGTTTCTTTTATCATAATAATGTATTGCAAATTTTGATTTTTTTTTTTTTTTTTTTTTTAATTTAATAATCATACATTACGGATGTTCCTTCGAGTGCAATGAGTGCGCTTGGATAGATGATTCTGTCACGCCTCATATTCGCATATGTTTTCTTCAGACATTCATAATAATCTAGCCATTGCTGTCTATGTAGGTGTCTTAAGCTTTCGTTAGCTCTTGGATATTCATATTCATCGATATTTAGAAACATTTTGTTATCTTATGACAATTATGATTACAATTATACATTTATGATTTGTAATTACATTTATACATTAAAAGTTCGTGTATCTAATTCTCTATGCATGATTAAATCTATGCCTACCGTATTTGCCATTAAATATTTTATTAAATTTTTTTTGTAATTCTTCATTTTTATTTAAGTTTGATCGCAATAAAGTTAAAGATACGTTACTCAAGTAATAAATTAAGATAAACATTACACATATTTTCATCATTGTGTAACAACATTATGCTGTCATTTTATACCATGTTATATAAGTAAAGGCGTGAAGTATAACATGGAATAAAATGACAGTATAATATTGTTTATATATGTGTATTCGTTGCGACAGTTATATGTACATATATGTATGAAACAAAAGTAATGCAAACAAATGCAATTTTTTTAGTAATAGTTTTTATAGGTCTATAATCGTTTTATTAAATTTTTTTTTCGATGAACATCTGATTTGATTTTGTATGAATAATATAAAACTTCCTAAAAATTGTATTTACTTATATTAATTCGTATGTAATTTCCTCAATGAAAATTAGATTTAAACAAGAATACATGAGATGATTGAGAATCGTGGCTCATTATGCGTATCTTGTAGGCATATGATTTTGAAAGCAAGTACAAAAAAACGCAACAATTATGCGAGAATTTACAAACTACAAATTTTATAACAATTTTATATTTATATAACTTGTAACATACAATTTACGAAATCAATAAATTTCAATAAATAAATCTCAAGATTTTAACAAATGTACTAAATAATGTATGAAATATTGTATAGATTTATGTGTTGGAATTACACTACATACTGTTTTTTATGTCAAAATTAATAATCTGAATATTGTTAAGGCTCCTGCCAATTCGCAGAAGCAATAAAATTTTTGCAAAATACATTATAATTAAAATATTTTTTCGATAAAATAGTGTTTGCAATTGATAGGAATTGTGGCTTTGTCCTTAAGTATAATTTATATTTCTAGATACGTATTATTTAGTTACTGAAGTAAAAAGAGAGTTTTTGATATATTTTATAAATCTATTTTACCAATGTAAACATTATTTTACTGAAAAATATTTTTATTTCAATGCATTTTACAAAAATTTTCAATATCTTTTGGTCCTTGATATAATTTTAAATGATCGCAGTAAATTAATATGAGTTTTAAAATAATTGAAATTTTTATAACTCTTATATCATCTTTCTTTTACAATAGAAATATATCTTAGAATAAAGCAAATACTACTTGTTTGATATATGATAGATATTACGACAATAATTGCATAATAATAATTAACATTTTTAAATATGCTGCAGGAAAACAATAACATATCAGGCTATTCAAATCCAGAGTTAGATATGATAAATAAAGATATAGCGGAACTCGTGCGTGAAAGGCAAAGCATGGAACAGGATATAGCACAAAAGGAGGCAGACATTAAAATAAAAAACGGGGAAATTAAAAGTCTTCAAAGCGAATTAGATACACTTGCGGCAACATTGAAACAACTGGGAAATCAGAAGGGTGAGGCGCAGAAGAGATTGAATGACTTGAAAGCGCAGGTAAACAGAAGTTTGATAATATATCGACTTATCGAATGTGCGTAGCATTGCTTTTTAGGCGTACTACATGCAATGCGCATATATAATTGTCGCTTGTAAGTTTTTATAAGATATGAAGCTAATTTTATAAATAGTCATAAATAATAATCAATAAATGCAATAAAGTAATATAAATATAAGCTATATTGCTCTTCGGATATATCAATATATTTTATTATGTGCAGATTATAGGTAGACAATAATATAATATCATCAATAATAACTATATTTTAATTTATTCTTTTGTTATTTTTTTGCTCATTGTTTTATATTTTCAAATACTATGAATCAATGATTATTTATTTTATATGTATAAGTGAGAGCAGGCGCGCAAGGGGCATTTATTGACATGCACTTACGACACAATCGTCTTTAATCAATAAATTTAAAAGATAAAGGAAGAAAAAACATTTGAGAAATAAAAAAAATATGATTGATTATTCACTCAGGTTATATTATGTTTTTCTTTATGATTTTGTTTTATTATGTTTGGCTTATAGAAGGCTGAAGTAGATAGAGATTTGAGTGAAGTCGAAGAGAAGATTCAAAAGGAACTGAAGAAGGTACATAAAAAAATAACAGTATCGTGTGTTTAAAGTGGATCTTTATCTTTGCATATTAGAATTTTGTTTGGTATATCGCGATAGGAAATAAATTTTGGGTAAAATTTCCTTTCTTTTTTTAATAAAGTTATTATATTTTATTATTTTTCCACAAGAGATGTGTGTTTGTATGCGTGTTTGTGTGCGTGCATGTATAATGCGTGCGCGCGCGCGCGTGTGTGTGTGTGAGTGAGTGATTGTACAAAATAGAATATTTTTATTCATCTGTACCAATATAAATTAACCCTAATCTCGGTTTAACTTATTTTTATCTTTTTTTAATTCTAAGAATGAAAAAGATATAGAGTAATTTTAACTGAGATTAAAATTATTCAACATTAGTAGAAATAGATATTAAAATATTACAAACTATTATTTTTGAAAATGTCAACTAAAAATGTTTCAGATAAAAATTATTTAATAACAATAAGCAAGTTCGGTAATTCAACGACATGTAGTTCGCGATATAAGAATTTGTTTTAAATTTAATAATAATAATTTAACGAAAATCATTCGAAACCCTGTCCGCCGATTAATATGTGATTTGTTTTAAAAACATATATCGGCTTATTGTTTATTGTTATTTTTTACGGGACACTTGAAACATTCTTTCACATTATTTATCTGATTATTGCGATAAATATCACTACATGCCTCAGTCGATGATTAAAAGACATGAATGATTAAAAGACATTCGCATGAAAAGTGAATGATCCAAGTTCGAGTCCTAGCTGAGATGATATTTTTCGCAATAAGAATTTCTTTGAGTGCGGGGGGGATTAATTGATTTCAAATTTGATTATTATTCGATGTATTAAGAAGAGGGGAATCTAGGTATAACTAAAAAAGGTTACGTTGCAAGTTTTGTAATTTAATGACATGTGGTTCGTGATATAAACATTTGCCTTGAACTTATATATTATTAATTCAATCAAAAAAAATTATTTGATACTAAAATTCTATTCGCTGGTTAATGTCATCTATGATTTCATCGTTTTAGAAATTATTTGGTTTAGGTGTACAGGAAAAGAAAAGATAGGTAAATTAGTTTGATCTAGAGTGTCAAGAACATGTAAAATTTAAATTTATTAAATAAAGCTATATTTTTGGATGTTACTCCATTTGAATATTATACAATGCAAATTTTTTTTTTTCTGTGGAATAAAATATCTTGTAAAATATTTATTTTTCGTTGTAAAATATTTCGTTTATTATTCTTTAATATTTTTGTGTAGAAATTAAATAGATCAATCGATATATAAAAAAATATATTTAAAAAAAATACATATAATTTTATACATTACAAATAGTATACTTTTTATAATGACTTTTCTAGACAAAAAGTTGTATCGATTAATGTATCGACAAATATAAGACTCTACTTAAAAAAAAAACTTATTTTTACATCATTTTTGTTCATAGTTAAAGTTAAATTAATCCCTAAATTATCTCTATCTTTTCTCTTTTTCCAAACCAAATAATTTTTATTTAAATTTTGTGTTTGTAGAATTTTATAGATGTGTATCTTGCGAAATAACACAGCTTTGTATGCAGTATATAATATTGTTAATATCATTTATTTAATTTTTTTTTTTGAAAATATTTTTTTATATTCAAATATATAAAATCTACAATTTTTTTTTACATATTTATAAAACTGTACCTTTGTAGTATAAAATGTAAACAGATATAACTCTGACGTATCATTGGTGTCATGATTTGTTATATTCTTTCTTCTAATATACAAAATAATTATAGTACAATTAAAAAATATAAAATAAAATCAAAATGTAACTTTTTTATATTTTTCTATTATATAAATATAATAAATACAAGTATACTGTTTAATAACATTTATAAGTTTTATTACTCTTCACATTTATAAACGAGGAAAACGAACAAAATTATTCACGAATTAATTTTATTTTATCAAGGTTGATAAACTTCGTCAACAAGCTGAAGAACAAGAATCAGTACTACGAGCTCAAGAAGAGGAGCTAAATTTTAAGAGACAAGAGCTTGAAGGATTGAAACAGGAAGAGCAACAATTGGAACAGCAACAAAATAAAAATAGGGACCAATTAAATGAGCTGACGAAAAAGCTACAAGATACTCAATTAGAGATCTGTCAAGCAAAGGCAAAGATCACTCATTTGCAGGAACAACAACGTCAGATGAGCGATTCTATTGCACTTTATGATTCTGCACTCGCTGCAGGAGATTTGAATCTTGTACCTGATACTAGTCTACAATTTATACCTGAAATTGAAGATATAGAGTGTGTATTATCTAAAGATTACTTAAATCAAAATATCTTTTCATCCTTATAATATTTTTTATATATTTGAAAAAAATAGGTATGAGACAACTAAGAATATAGATGAAACCAAGGAAATGAAACTAGATGCAATTGGGACTTTAGATGGATTTGGAGATCAAGATCCTTTTGCATCGAATAAAGCCAAAGAAGCATTTAATGCACCAATATCTGATCCATTTGGAAACGCATTCTCTGCGCAGCAATCTAATGTAAGTTTCTATGTAATGTAATAAATATTTATGAGCAATATTTGTCTAAATTTTGATTTTTTATTCTGTAAAAACATGAGTCAAAATAATTAAAAAAATCTTCTGCAGAATGGTTTTACAGCAGATCCTTTTACTACATTTGATAATACCAATACAATGACAAAGCAAGATCCTTTTGATCCGTTTGGCAATGAAAAACGAGTAGAGAACAAAACACCTACAACTGCAACATTGGTATGTCAAATTCTTATTTGTGAACATTTAATAAAATGTATATATTTTTAAGGCTCGATTTTCTCATGGCCCAAAATGAGTTATATGACGTCAGAGACGAGAAATAACATGCAAAAAGTTTCTTCTTTCATATAGTTTTACTTTGTACTTTTCCCTTAAAAATATATTTTTATATTCTTAAAACTTGTAAAAAATACCAAAAAATAAGATATCTGTCCAATAGATCACGTAAAAGTGTAAGCTATCAGAAACAACTAGACAACTTTAGTGATTTGATAATTTCTGATAGTTGAACATTGTATCATTATTTCAAGAATTATTTTACACTTTTATGTGATCTATTCTGGACAGATATCTTTTACTTTCCGATATTTTTTATAAGTTTTAAGAAAATATCATATTTGTAAGGAAAAAATATAAAACTATACGTAAGAAACTTTTTGCATATCATTTTTCGCTTTTGACATAATTTAATATGCGGGGAGAAAACTTTAATATTTGATTTAATAATCTTGTTATATTTTTCTCAAATCTCTTATTTCCTCTTATTTCTTATAAAATTTGTACGTAATAAATGGAATTGCAAAATAGTATTAAAAAAAATATTGAAAATATAGAAATTATTAAAAATATGGAAATTTGTGCTGAATATATTTTGGCCTATATTCTGAACTTACTTTTAATGATAAAGTGCTTCTAAAAATTACGATTGGCTGAAAAGCCACATTTAAGGTATTTTTACCAATAAAAGTGAAAGTTTAGAATATAAATCTTTGTTTTATCGAAATATTAAATAAGAAAATGATTTTTTGTTAAGAATACGAAAGATCCATTTGGAGAAGATCCTTTTGCAAATCTTCATGCTCCTCCTCGTCCGGAAAGTCCTAGTCCTGCTCTTCCACCAAAAAAAGCAAAGCAGCCACCGCCACGACCAGCTCCACCACGACCAAGTCAAGGTCCTACTGGTCCACTGAGAGCAGCGCCAGCACCTCCAACACCTTCACCCACTCCAGATCCATTTGCAAACGCAAATTCGGATCCATTTAGTGCTCAGCAAACAACGATTGATAACAATAATAGCTTTGCATCTTCTACTGGATTTGCCGACTTTACCAATTTCGATTCCAAGGTATGTATCTAATAGTGCACGTGTATATTATATAAATATATATATATATATATATATATATTTGTTATAGTTTTTAGTACTTACTTTCTTCTCTCCTTATTTTCTTTTTATATTATTGCCTTTTAATATTATATTATTTTTTATATTTCTTTTAATACGTAACATTTTTTATAAAAAAAAATAATTACTCATGAAAATTTAACAATTTTTTGTAATATATTATTATGTAATATATTATTTAGTAGGGATGTGCTGGATATCCGCTAATTATCCAATATTTATCCGATTTATTTCATAATTCAGTCACAAATATTATATTTAAAATTTGAATTTTAAATGTCATGAAAAATAATGAATCGATAATGTATACAGTTTAAGATATATTGTTAAAAATTAATTAGGTTAGTAAAATGTTTAGTGAAATATAAAGATGTCATTAAGATGCTTCGTCAAACTTATGGTTAAGCTGACTAAATATTATCGATGTTTGATTATTAATTGACATATAAAATGTGATATAAATTAAAAAGATTGTTAGTAAGACAGTAAATAATAGACAATATTCGACAGGTAAATTCTCAGACGCTTAATTTATTTTTTATTTTTTGAATTTATATATATACATTCAAGATAAAAATGCTTATGTTACAAACCGTGTTAGTATTTTTAACGGATTTTAACGTAACGATTTAAAATCAAAACTAAATTTCTTCTTTTAATAAATTGACAATTCAATATGATACCAATTACTCCCTTTTTTTTCACGAGGAAAAAAAGATTGAATAATCAAAATAATGCGTTTATTATATATTTTTTAAGTATTTTATATTTTTATAAAAAATATGAATATGTTTCTGCAAATTATCTCTCGAAGTAATCTGTTTCTATTTTTTATATAAATAGCTGTTGCGATATTCAAGTAAAATATACATATAACTCTTATTAAAAGTTCTATTTTCTTATTGTATTGTTAAATTCATTTTTTCAATCTTTTTATGTAAATATCAGATAAAATTCGATTATCCGGTTATTTGATAAATACATTTGACAATAAATGCTGAATTATTCGATATTTGATGATTTGACAAATTCATTATCCAACACATCCCTATCATTTAGTTATATGACTTGAATATACGAGTGATACATGAGTGAATTTTACAGATAAATCTAGAAAAGATTGCTTTATAATATTTATATATAAAAGATGATTGCTGGTAATACATCTAAATAACTTGTAAATGATAAAGTTTTAATCAGATTTCAAATAATTTCAATCAATATATATTATATGTTTCATCTGTGCTTAATAAAAATACAGTGAGAACTAAATTCACTGCTTATATGAATTTATTTTTCTTGAATAAAATTGCTTCTAATATTAGCACATTTGTTGAGACAAATAAGATTGAATTAATAGAGATATTTTTTGAACTTTAAAATGTTGTGCTTTTGTGTCATTTGCTTTTTTCGCACCTCCATTCACGAAAAAGAATCGTTTGATTAAAACAAAAAAAAACAACTTTAATCGTTTATTTTTTAAAATTTAAGATTATTCAAAGATTCGCGATGCACGAGAAAATATCTAAAATAAGTGTTCTCTTTCCATTTTTGTTTAAAATAACAGTAGATTGTTATAAAAATATCTTTTGTGATAATTTTAGGTTGCTAACTCGTAGCGGTGCAAATTTAAGATAATACAATACGAATGTAACATTGCTCCTCCTCCCTTCTTCTCTTTTCAGGATTATTTTGGCAATATTCATTCCGGAGGACAATGGAAATCTAATCTTCGTTCTTTTTCTTCTTTATCGCAAATTAAATCTGTTTTTCGCTCCTCTGCTTCTATTACAAGTTATTTAGCTTCAACTCTATCTATCTTCCTTCGGTCATCCAAAATTTCTAGCCGAATCTCAATAGATCTCATTGAAGTTGACATGAAAAACTAAAAAGTAGATTAGAATTGTGTTTTTTATGTGCTTTTAAAAAAATTGACTTATCCATAGTTAAGCAGATGTAAGTCAGAAAAGTCAATATATATATTGTTGATACAAGTGTAAAGTGCCAATTAAAATACAGATAGCGGATCGGTTCTGGATTTAAAATGTTTTTCAATTTATGCTCTTTAAAAATATCCATAATATTTTTGTACTAATCCAATATTTTTTTAGGCTTATTCCTTCTAATCGATAAACCGTTTTGAACACCAATACTCATCAAACTTACAAAAATAAAATACCAATTAAAACACAGCCAATTTGCTGATTTTATATTTAAAATGTCTCTCGATTTATGTTTACTTTTGCTTTTGCTTATTCCTTTCTAATCGATAAATCATTCCAAGTGCTATCTTTATTTCAACTGGCTCTTTATTCTGGTAAGTATTTGGTGAATACTAACATAGTTTATCGATTAGACAGAATAAGTACACAAATCTTGTCTTATTTTCAAAGCACATAAATTGAAAAACATTTTAAACCCAAAATCGATTATTATGTATACTTGAATGACATTTTATTCTTGTACCAATGATACATATCGACTTTTGTAGCCTATCTTAATTATTAGATAAGTCAGTTTTGTTAAATGTTTTAGAAAGCATATTAAAAGCATATAATTCCGATCTATTATCTATTTTTTAGTTCTACATGTTTAGTTCTACACAATTTAGATGATACTAACTTTCGTTAAATCTCAGTGCTTTCATTCTCAGTCATCATTTCTTGCTAAATTGCTCAAATACTTGCAAAAATCTAGAAAAAAAAATCTCTAAAATACATAACTAGCACATGAAAAGCACTTAATCTCTAATGTTTTATCGATTTTTTATAGTGAGAAGGGTGCTTACGAATTTAACGGGGAAAAATGTTAATTTAATTTTTAATTTTAATTTATTGTATTAAATATCTAAGCCTAATTTTAAAAACTTGATGTTGTTTCGATGCGGTAAGAAGCCGTAATAGAATTTTTCCCGTTCACTTCTGTTTCCGTCTATTTTAGACTCAAGTGTCTTCGATCTCAAATATTGTTTTATCCAAATATCTGTTTATTTGCAAATGACACACAAGAAATCTCAATATGTCTTTTCTCGTTTATGATATCATGATTCAATATAACTAGTCAGAAGCCTTAAATGTGCGCATCGTGTGTATGTGCGTATCTCTATGTACATATGTGTACGCGCATATACACACATGTTGCGCAAATTATTCCAAATTTTATACTAGTGAAACATGTTTGGGGGATTGGAATTCACTTATCTATCAATCGATTATTTGCAAATAATTTGCTTTTCTAGAAATAAAATTATAGAAAAGTTTAAAAATCTGCTTCGTTAATCGTTAATATATAACAATATATTCATAAAATTCATTAATTTTATAATTGAATATATTATGATATTTACGTTTACTTTGATTCTTTTAGTAGATTAAGCAATAAAATATATATTATAAATTTATTGATAATTTTTTAACAGAATGTTATAAATGGCATTATTCGACATTAATGGCATTAGGGTAGACACTTGATATTTTCCTTTTTGAATTTATATAAATATAATGTTTTATAAGATAAATTTTATAAATTCACAAAATAACTTATACTCGCCAAATGTACCGTTATTTTTTAATGGATTTGCATCGTAGTGATTGAAACCAATATTGAAATAATAATATGTAAACAGTGATTCAAAACAATAGCTAAATTTTTCCCTTTAATAAATCATAATGTCATTTATTACATTCTGTCGACGTATAATACATTGATTTGTTCTTCACATCGTGATATTTTTATATTAATTTCTTTCTCTTTTTGAAAAAATATTAATATTTACATAAAATCAGTATTTAAAAAAATGTTTATTTTTTAAACTTAATTTTTTTTCAATTTCAATAAAAAATTAAAATAAAATTATTATAAAATATTACATCCAACTTTAATTATTCGCAAATTATTTGTTGTTAGAAGTAATTTTTCAAATCAATGTTACATATTATCAGAGAGGATGTATGTTATAATAATTATTTTTTCAACATTTGTCTAATTATAATTAATCAATTATTATTAATCAATATGCAATTTTTTGAATGTTACATATTTTCTTGTTGGGTACTTATATCAACGTTTTAATTGTGTATTTAATTTTGTTTTATATTTAGGTAAACACTGCACGATTTTTTCAGTTTTCCTTCTATTGAGCTGCCTTCTGAAGTACATCTGCAAATTAATTTATCTTTCTTTTTAAGGGTTGTTTATATTATTGTTACACAAATATATTTGATTATTGTTGATCTTTTATTTTTTTTTCTGCGAAATATTCGAATTACTGTGTTGAATTAATGTATAACGATATATAAGATTTTTACTTTATCATCTTATCTTTTCTTGATAATATAATGTAATTCGAATATCTCGTAAAATTACAGCATTTTTACAGTTTTGTTTAATAAAAATAGGTCTAATGCAGCCAGCAGCCGGACGACAGTCGACGGTATCCGCGTTATTTTCTTCTACCTTTTCAGTAAAACAAAATTGACCAGTGACAAAAACCTGCTTCAGCCAGAACCGACGGCTAATGAAATGGCTCCACCAAGACCGACAAGTAAAATCCACGTAACAATGGCGCAACCAAAGCTATCGGATTTCACAGAGGACCCTTTTCGAGATTACCGTTATGAAGATCCTTTCAATATAACGGACCCATTCGACGAGACGGAGGATTTAAACGCGAACAAGAGGAAGGGAACGGACAAAACAGATCCTTTCGGTTTTGACACGATTTCTGTATTCTCTGGTAAAAATACTTCGATTAAAGTTTTCGATAACGATTTCTCAAACGTTTTTTCATCCGCTAAAGGAAAAGTTGAAAAGAACAACATGAGCGACACAAACAGTTCAAGCAAGTTCGATGTCGATTTTGGGAAAGTGTTTTCCGCCGATAATAAAAACGTTCAAAGCATTGAGGCTGATTTTTCTCAAGCGTTCACAAACATCAGAACAAAAACTGTTGATCTCGATGAGGCATTTTCGACTAAGGACACAAAGACCACCGCAATGCACGAATTAGATATAATGCACACCTTAAAATCTAATATCATCTATAATGACGAGAAAATCACAAACAATTTTGACAAAATGTGGAACAGTAATATAACTAATTTATCGGAGGAAGAACAGTTAGCGTGGGCAGAAAAACAAAGTATAAAAGCGGAAGAGGAGAGACTTAGGCGTAAGGAGAAAGAAGATGCTGAACTGGCTCTCGCTCTTGAATTGAGTAAACAAGAAAAGTCGGGAAATGTTTGAACTTTAATCGATGATGTTATTTCTTTGCATTTTCATATCACTGTGAACTTGTTAAATTGCATGACAAAGTTTTACATCTCAACATAACTTTACATAACAACGGCATTGCGCAAGCTTACATTATTACGCATTAGCATCACGTATAGAAGCGAAATGTAGATGCAGGTTATCAGATTGACAATAATGTCGGATATATAGATATTAGAAGTATTCAAAAGAAAAAGAGAAATTATTATGGCTTATATTATAAATGATGATTTCGGTTAATCGTAACTTTTAAAATTTCATATATTTGCTAATATTTTTTATGATTAAATTTGCAAAATTTCATGAAATAATTATTTTCCCATATTTTATTTTTATTCTCTTTTTTCTTGATCTATTCACGAATGCTGTCTTTTTGAGAGTGTTACGCGGTTCTAAGTTACGATTATACAAGTTACGATAATAAATAAAAAAATTAAACTATAAAAAATTCGTGTTGTTTATAAAAGTTATTCGATCAAAGCACGATAATATAATATCATTAAGCGTATCGTTATCAATATATATAAACGCCTATAGTAATCAAATATTACAAGATTTCGATCAATATTCGTTATACTAATCGCTCAGTATATGAGAATCTAAGTCACTTCACATCAGTCTTTAATAACTTCATGTAAAAGGAAAAGAAAAAGGAAAAAAAAGCATTGTCAGTCAGAGTAAAGGTCCGTGACAATGTTTTATCTAATCCAGTCTTCAGTTTTAAAACGTTCCAAAGAATGTAGTATTCGAAGGAAGCATATGTGCTTGGCGAAAAGTGTTCTATTCTATAAGACTCGAAAACCAAACACAAATGATTACATCTATCTTGACTATATTGTAGTATCGTATAATTTCAACAACGACGTTGTATGTACTTCATATGATGTATATATTAACATTACAAGATATATTAAGTCACGATAATTCTCATTACATACATTTTTATTATCATTTGTATGTGTATGTGTGTGTATGTGTGTTTAGTTATAAATTAGTACACTTATACCATATGTAAAGACATGTGCTATATATCATTAATAATACCAGTGCAAAAAACTTACCTTAAATCGACCTGTATTATACATGTCTATTCAGTTCAACTTTTATGTGTTACGTAATTTTTGATTTTTTTTTTCTCTTTATATTTACCGTATGTGTGTACATGAGTATGTCTCTCTATGTATGCGCTAAGAAAATTCCATTAAAATAAATGTACAATATTTTCAAATATTTATTACTTAGTTTATACACAGTTTTTTGTCTTGATTTATCTGTCTTGATCGTCGGGAGAGTGTTGTTAATATATACAGTGAATTTGTGGAAATGTTCCAAAGAATTGATCGGTATTCAATTAATTCCTAGGTTTCTATTATTTTTTAGAAAAATGGAATAATTCCAATTCATTCTGAAAAGTTCCATAGTAATATATCCCCAAGAGTTATTTGACATGAATTTTTCTTCAAAATTGGGAGATTTTAAATTTCATAAAATCAGCTAAGAAAATCTCAAGTAAGAATTTGACATTTTACTTTTACAGTTTATCAACAAAAATTTTATTTTAATAATAAATATTTATGTAATAATTGTTAATTTCTTATTAATAGATTGTGTAATTTATTAATAAACTAAAGTGATTGAAAAACGCATTTGAATTTATTTAAAATCTCTTGAAAACTTGTCAGTTTGGATATCGATATGTAGTACTAGACGGAGCATTGGATAAAATTTCTTTGATATTTTGTCTTGATAGATCCAGAAAAAGAAAAGTAAATGTATGGACACGAATTTCTCTTTCTATTTTTTTATTAGTTAAATTTTGTCTAGTGAGCATGTGTACAAATTGGTAATATTATTAATATCATACAAATTTTAAATGTGTTGTATATAAATGTAAAATTAAAATTAATAAACAAGATGAGACATACAATTTGGACGGATTATATCTCGAATTTGATTAATGATACAAAAAATTATACAAGAAAAAGTTCGAAGAACGATATAGGAAGATATTTTTTTACTTACTTTTTTATAAACGTACGATACATCTAAAAAAGCAAATGTGTTCTTTTTAATGGAATTACATATCTCTTTATGTGGATCGAGTTCTTAGAACAGCTTGCATAAAAAAGTATTATAGTACAATATAAAAAAAAATATAATTTGTGAGATATTTCACATGTTTGGTAAGTCCTAAGCTTTATTAAAGATGTTTGATGTCCTGCTTCACTGTCCTGCTTTGGTAAACATGATAAACATTTCATAAATCATTTTTTTACTTTTTAACACAATTAAAATGATCACTGTTTATGTTAAATAAACAAATTGGTAAACTGTTTATGTAATCCAACTCGTTTTTTTTTAAGTCTTTCACAGAAAAGAAATGGACGCAAATATATTTTATCTTTGAAATAATATAAATAGAAATAAAAAGAACTCAAGAGGAATTAAGTATCTGGAGAACGTAGCCAGTAGTCAGTGTTGTATTACATGTTCCAAATTAATTTTTAGCATAAATTCATTTGTAGATAGTCTGTTACAATGCATGCATTATGGTTCTGGTGCACCAGGGAGCGTCCCAGGGGATCGATCATGTAACTTTCCCCTAGGGGAAACGTGAAAAGTGAAAAGTTTCACGTGAACTTACGATCATGTACGATTTTGCGGGATTATGTAACTCTCTCAAACGTGAAAATGTAAAAACGTGAACTTCTTCGCCATGTACCTTGGTGGCGAAAAGGCGGAAATCTAGGGAATTAATAAATATGCTTCGGAATTAGAGAAGATTAGGACTGCGTTAGGATTAAGTACATGTACGTAGTACATGTACAATTGGTTATTAAAAGATGTATATAATACTGTACCAAAATAAAATAATTTTCATTAGCTATAAAACCTATGAAATTATGTTTCATGATTTCACTTTCCACGCATCTAAGCTACATACATAATCGCTGTACGTGAAAAGTTTCACGTGAAATGTCAAGGTGTGAAAAATGAAAAGTAAAAAGTGAAAAATGAAAAGTGAAAAATTTCACGTAAAGTTACATGATTGACTCTCAGATGCGTACATTTTCAATCGGACACACTATTCACATCAGCCGATGTCTAGGAATTTTTTAGGGAGCCACCTATCAAAATTTTTTTATTTAATCGACCAATCGGCAATATGTCCGATTGGACCTCACCATGCACTATGCACTTGTTGATAATACTTTAAATTCAATCGCGTTTGCAGAGGAATAGTATTAAAACCAGGTGATTAAAACCAGGCAGTACAAATTTTAAAAAATGTCAATATCTTTCACCATTCAATGTGCTAGAAGATATAATAATATATATAATAATAATTAAAATATCACACTAGACATTAACTACTATTTGGTTGTTCACATTTCGTTCAAGTCGTGGACTTTCTATAGTTTCTATAGTTATGTGCGTATTGAACATTTTGTAAAGATTTTTGTAAATGTACATTCGTCTGAAAACATATATTTCGTCCAAAAAACTTCCTAAGAAATCTTACATCATTTTCTTTGTCGTAGAAGAAAGATAGCAAAAAATAAAGACCCTCTAATAAGAGTCGCGAAATAATGTCAAGGTTAGGTCAGTATCTCCATTTTTCAGCAAAAACCGGAAATAGCGTGGCGTGAAATTTAACTTTTAAAGTACGGTGTTTCAAATAAAAATAAAAAGTTTTATAGATAACAAATTTTTATTTATTTCTCAAATATTATGCATCGTCATTGTTTTGCTACCAAAATATATATAGATAATATATATAGGTAATATATATAGGTAATATATATAGGTAATATATGTAATATATGTAATATATGTAATGTATATAGGTTAGTGTCACGGCTTTTTAAACTGTTTGATGTACTATACACAGTCGTATTATATCTATTAGTTTGCTGAAAAATACCGGCATCAATCAAAAGTGAGGATGTTACTTCTCGACTCTTATTAGAGTATTAAAGGGTCTCTCTCTCTCTTTCTCTAGAAGTGACGAAAAAATCAATGACAAAATCATTACTCTCTCACAGCGTTATCACAAGGTGCTTTCCATTTGTGACAAAAGTCGACACAAGTATCGCTCTATCTTTCTTGGCCTTCAATGATTAGTCCCGGTCTACAATAGGTGTCAATTATTCTCCTATTCTTTTACTATGATTTGTCCATTTCTTATGGCTTAAATCATCTATTATATAGACCGGGACTTAACAAGGGGACAAAATGATACTTATGTCGACTTGTGTCACTAAATGGAAAGCACCCAGTATGGTACTGGTCGTTGATGGTGAATTTCGAAACGTTGTTCATAGTGCTGCCAGTGCTGACAATCAATTTTGGAACACAGCCAAGACTCGAAACTGCCAAGAGCTACTCTAGTCTACTTTGCTCTACACGTGCACGTATATCACTTCGTATTGTATCAATTAAAAATAATTATATATAGATTTATGACACACTGTATCGAATAATTAAAGTATTAATAAAATTTTAAAGAAATAGCCGATTATTATCAGTTTTTATATCGATTAGAAAATCAATTTTACAAGTATTAAATATAAATGAAATACAATTTTAAATTTGAGAAATGAGTTTTAAGATAACTAAGGAAGTTATTGAAGAAGGAGATATTGTTATTTTATATTTAAATCCGAACAATATGCATTCTCTGGAAGTGAAAGCCAAAATGTGTAATAAAAAAGGCGAAATTATAGATAACATTTTTCAGACAACTTATGGTGCATTGAGAGTCATTTCACTCATTGGACAAAAATATGGTTCAAAAGTTGAGCTGACTCGAGGTTGGGCATATGTATTACAGCCAACACCAGAGCTGTGGACATTGACCTTGCCTCATAGAACACAGATTATCTATAGTCCAGATATAAGTCTTATTATACATTTAATGGAACTTAGACCAGGAAATGTAATTATCGAAACAGGTAAGTTATAATATTTATTGAAAAAAATGGTCTTATTTTTTTATAATATATTTTAGGTACCGGCAGTGGCTCATTATCTCATTCATTGATTCGAGCTATACGTCCAAATGGTCATTTGTATACCTTTGATTTTCATGAACAACGTGTATCTATTGCTGATACAGAATTTAAAAAGCATGGTTTGAATGATTTTGTAACTTTAAAGAAAAGAGATGTCTGCTTAGAAGGTTTTGGAGAGGAATTGAAATATCAAATTGATGCGGTGTTTCTAGATCTGCCACATCCATGGTTAGCTATAGAGCATACTACTGTAGCTTTAAAGAAAACAGGTGAAAACTTTTAATTTGCAAAAAAGTTGATTAATATGTAGCAATAATTATTTTAATATGCACATATATAATAATCTGCACATATAAAATAAAAAATAAAACATAATATACAGGATGTTTTATAATTGGTGATGCAATTGGAAAGGAGATGGTTCTACACAAAAAAATACTCGAAAACATAGAATAAAATTTTTTTCATATGAAGTCTTGTTTTCGCAAAAATTGACTTTAAATAGATACATGTGCACTTAACTATGGCTGATATGTATAGCCTATTTTCTTTTCAAGAACATTTTAGGCATATATTTAAAGCAATTTTAAATGTAAGAACTGACTATGAATACTACTTTATACCTTAATGAATCTTGTTATAAACTACTGTCTCTCCTCAAATTTATTTTTATTATATTGGGTAATTTCTCAATTAGAATATACAGAGAATATACAGTGGCTATATTCAGCAAAAAAATAGCTTTGTAACTGTTGTAAGATTCTTTAATATGATTAGTTCATATATTAGATCTAGCGAGAAATTACATAAGAATCAATCATATTAAAAAATCTTGGGGATAACTGCAAAGCTACTTTTTCTGCTGAACATACCCAGCAAAACAGGATATTCACACAATCAAAAAATTTATGATTTGATTAAAATATGGTGGTGCTTCACTTTATTGAAAAATTAAGCTTCTTATTTCGAAGGATACATCCATTTATATGTCTTTATAAATACAAACATGAATAGAGATAGTACTCTCCAGCAAAATCTGTTAAAATATAATTAAATATATCTAATAAATATTTAAAGCCAATTACAATCAATAAATAAAACTTCATATGAAAAATTTTATTCTTATAGGTTTTCGATTTATCATGTAGAATTACTTTTTTCTCAGTTGTACTAACAGTTATGGAATATATATTTGAAAGTATGTGATATATATGACACATGTACACATACACGTACACGCGCGCGTGCAATTCTGCAAAATTTATAATCATAAAATATATAAAAATGAGATACAATAATAAGGCTAATGAGAATCAGTGCCGTAACGGCGCAAATTATATTTATTAACAGAAAATTCCAACTGTTTGTTCACAATTATCTACTTATTAGCCTTATTATTGTACATTATAATATCGAGAATCTTTTTCTATTAATATATAAAAATAATTTTTATATTTAATAGGTGGAAAACTTTGTTTCTTCTCTCCTTGTATTGAACAGGTTCAACGTACTTGTACAAAATTGATTTATAAAGGATTTATAGAAATACATACATATGAATGTTTGCAAAGAGAAATGAATGTTCAATATAGATCTTTACCATTATTAAACTTGGAGTGCTTGAAATATAAGGTTGGTACATTTATACTATTATTGATTAAAAATTTATTTTTAAATAGAATACAAGATAATTGAAATAAAGATAAGATGATTGTACTTATATTAGTAATATTGAGAAAACTGATTGCCGCCTATGTAAATGCCATATTGAATTTAATAAAAGTATACAAAAGCGAAAGTACAAAATATATAAAATATATACAAAATATATAAAATTTTAAAAGAATCTTCTTTATTTAGTCTGTTTTTTCTGTTTTCTTTGTAAAATTGTTATTAGTAGTAGAAAGGATGTTGAAAGTATTAAAAAATTATTCAGTATATATATTTCAAAGAATGAATAATACAAAACTGAAAGAATATAATTATTTTGTTATAGCATATAAGTGAGGATATTGTACAGAAGAATGAGAAGAGAAAACAGGAAGAAAAATTTCTTACAGTGACTCATGCTTATTCATTACCTGGTCATACAGGCTTTATCACGATTGCTACTCTTCCTCCTAATTATGCATTCAAATAAAAAAATTAAGTTTATAGTATAGAAATTTAAACAAATAAATAACTGGAAAATACAAAAAACATAAGGGCATTAAATATTATACAAAACTCGCAAACTATTTTTACTATTATCTTAAATAGGAACTCCATTTTACAAACTACTTCTACTAGCATTATCATTTTTTTTCTGAAATTAAATATTGTTGTCTTATTGTTAAAGACATTAAGATATAAGAAAATAAGAACTGGATGTTACAAAAAAATTTGATTATTTGCACATTCATTAGTTATTTTATGTATCTGCCTTTGTTGGATTCCAACTGAGATAATCAATTCGAGTTGCGGCCTGATATTCTTCCACTAAATATTCCACAACTTCTCTTGAGTTATCTAGTTCATCAAGATTGTCTTCGAACATTTTTTCTTTACGAAATTGCTCCAAAAATGCTTCACGTTTACGCAACTTATCAAATTGTTGTAAAGCTCTATCAAATAGCTAAAACACATTTTTTAATATTTAAGTTTAAAATATTGCAAAGCATACATAAACTATATGTTGATTGCATAACTTATAATAAACTTACTGAGGATATATTAGTATGATTAGCTAACATCAAACCAGAAACACGATGCGTACTTTGGATATAAGGGGATTTTCTCGAAAGAGCTACTTGTATACTAGCTGGACCCCAAGGAATAAATTGTGCCAATTTTCGCTCTCTGATTCTTTGTAAGGATTTGTGCACCTGAGTTGGATCTACCTCACCCTATTAAAAATATATTATTAATTTGTTATGTTTTCCAATACATTCAATCATTAAATATATTTCAAAAGAATTAGATTGTTTTTTAAGTCATTTTAAACTTCTATTTGAATTTATCCCAATGAATATGAATATCTATAATTAGGGCTGAGAAGTAACTGCGTTATTGCTTAGTTACTTTTTTTCGATAACGATTGTTACTTTTTTCCATCTGTAACAATATCGTTACTTTTGTTGTTTAGTTGTATTGTTTCTTTAGTGTTCTAAGTCAGTTTCACTATGTCTAATCAGATGATTAAACTTAATCGATCGATTATTCCATTGAAACAGATTAATGGCGAAACTGGTTTTATCATCTTTATGTTAACTGTTCAATAAATGACATGCTAATCACGCGTGTATTTCGTTTATTGACGTATTTATTTCTTCACTTCTTTATTTCCTTATTGTCCTTTTTACTTGAAATCTCAGTATATATTACATATATATATATACTACCTATATATTTTTTTCTAATTTTTCTATGTCATATTTTAATATTTACAGTACGGTATACAACATTGATTCCTTGACTCGGTGCCGCGGGGCCATGAGGAACTTCTCCTTTCATGCGCCATTCTCCTTCAGCCGGTGGCGCGACTTACCCCTTTCCTACGGACCGCTAAAGTCCGACTCTTTGATAATGAATTACACGATAATTAAAAAAGCTTCACGTTAATGAATAATATATAAGAATAATAAATAAGGATAACAAGTAATTAATACATACTGACAATATTAAAATATTAAATATATTAAATTAATAATTAATTATTGATAATACTATGATTTAGGATTCGATGATGAATAAAAATTAATATATGGTATATAATAATATATAATATATTCAACAATAAACAAATAGCAATATAAGAATTCTTTCTTTTTACTACTATAAAATATTATAAAAATGAAATGAAAATATTGAATATCATTATATATAATATTATATACCATATATTAATTAATTAATTAATTTTTATTTTTATTACAGAATCCTAAATCATAATTATTAAAATTAATCAATTATTAACTTAACGTTTTAGTATTGTTACAGTTGAAAAGAAAACTTGTATATAATTTTATGATTTAAAATATGAACATAAATTAAAAATCTAATTAAACTTACTTTAGCATCACAAAAAAGTAACGAAAAAATCGAACGAATCATTACTTGAAAAGTGTAACGATAACGATAACGCATTACTTTTTAAAATCAGTAGAGATGATGTCAGTGATCAGTAATGATAACGAGTTATTTTTTGCAAAAAGTAATGGTAATGGTATATGTTACTTTTTCCCAACCCTGTCTATCTATAATTTACTTTGATACATTGACACGGAATATAAAGTCTTTATTTTTTCATTTTTATATTTTTACGTATAGATAAAATAATAAGATAAATTAATTGATATAAAGGAACACAATAAATTAAAAACTGAATATCTTTTCTGAAAAATTTACCTGAATTATATTTAAGATAGATATGTAGCAATGAGATGCGTTTCTATCTAATGCTGTAGAAACCATCATATTTTTTGGTTGCAACAATCGTCGCATTACGTCTAGGACAGATGTTTTTCTCACGGATGCACCCTATTTTACAATAATTTTTGTAAATGTAAATGCATACTTTAGCAATAAATATGATTATATCATTAGAAGATAATTCTAATAATTTTGGAAATAGAAGCTTCTTAATTAAAATAACTAATGAATATAACAAAAAAAATATCAAGTTGGACACATCTGACTTCTGGTTATTTTTTTCGTAAATATCATAACATATTTGTGATATGCAATTGCATTTCTAAAATCGCAACTTTTTTTAAATCTATTTTTTATCATATTACATGTAAAATATTATATATTAATTATACTAAATATTCAATAATATAAAATATAAATGATGTATTATAAATCAATTCAATAATAATTATTCATTTTTCAATAATTTTGTCTTATATTTTTATATATAGGATGATAAACCAATTGATATAAAGCAAATATAATTAAATGAAAAAAAACAGCAATTGCACATACATATAATTTGTGAATATGACAATTAGATTTAACAAATAAAATTTAAAATTAGATTATCTTGCATTCGATATAAAGTAATATATATTATTATTAAGTACGGGCGAGCGGGCGCGTGCACGCACGCATGCACACACGCACGTGCTTATATATATATATATATATATATGTGTATATATATATATAATATATATATATATATATATATATACAATTTTAGGTAATAAAATTTTTTACATACTTCTTGATCTGTTGTAAGCGGAGTATATCCAGTCATTAGAAAATGTAAGCGAGGAGTTGGTATAAGTGGTGCAATCAAACCAACTAAATCATTGTTCATATATGACGGATATCTCAAAGTAGTTGTGCTGACAGACATTATTGTCGAAACAAGTTTATTAATTTGTGTGAAACTGGGATTCTGAATATGTAATCTATCTGAAGCAATCCTATTCAAAGCAGTATTATCTAAGACTACTACACAATCTGCACATTGAGTTAGTCTCTTCAAAGTTAATAATGAATTATATGGCTGTACTACCACATCACTGTAATAAAGACATGGTATATGAATATATTACGAATAGAAATCTTTCTTATAAATAAATAAACATTTACCTTATTTCATCTTGATTTGGAAAAACACTGTATGTTTCAATTAATTTTTTGGGAAATCTGTCAGCAAGAGATTCTAACATAAATGAACCCATACCGGAACCTGTACCTCCTGCTATGGAATGGCATAAAACAAAACCCTACACAAATCCCATAATTTGTTAAATTGTACTTTTATTAAGACTTGGCTCTCTTGCTGCTGTCATATTAGTTTGATGCATAGGTGAGAAATAAGTGCAGTAACTTTCTTGTGATATAATTTTTTTAGTTCACCCTTGAAAGTATAATTTTGTGATCCTGAAACTGTATGGAAAATTGAGACTGTCCAATCTGTCATGTAAAAATGTAAAATAATTTCTGAAATAATAGGACATCCTTCAGCCATGCTTAAATGATCATGACTGAATATGATTGAAAAATTTGAGAAATTATCAAAAATTATCAATTATTTCTGAAATTATTTTATTCTTCAATGTGACAGATTGGATAGATGTTTCAGTTTTCCATATATTTTACAAATTTCAAAATTATGAAATTATTATACTTTTAAGGGAAAGCTAAAAAATAAAACTATATATTACAAAGGAATTGTTGCATTTCATTCATCACTTCTCACTTCTAATATCATAAAATCAATATGGCTGCCAAAGAAAGCTGTCTTAAGATTTCTATTTTGTGTTCTTATAGTATATATATATATATATATATGTGTGTGTGTGTGTGTGTGTGTGTATGTGTGCGCGCGCGCGTATGTATATATGTATGTACACACATACATACACACATACACAATATTTCATAAAATAATACATTATTATAGAAATATGATAGATAAAAAATAATATAATTACTTCTAAGCTATCACTGCCATCAGCTTCTCTATCTAGAATATCAAAAATTTCTTCCTGTAACTTTTCACCTTGATGATATCCAGATGCCCAGTTATTTCCAGCACCTCCACCATGTTTTGATAAATAGATATTTTCAGGATTATACAACTTATAACAAAATAATAAAAGTTTTTAACTTATATTCAAATGATACAAATATATAATATATATTACCTTCGAATATGGAGAATTCATAATGGTATGAATTACTCTTGGTTCTAAATCCAACAATACAGCTCGTGGTATATAATGTTCATCATCCGATTGATAAAAAAACATCTTTCTATCCATTCCTTCCGTCGCATAATCTTCTAAAATTCCTTCTGGATTAATCCCATGTTCTGCACATAGCCTTTTCCAAAATTCAAATCCAACTACAAACAAATATATACTATTGTCTCAAATATAGCAAAAGATTATATATGTAAAATTATTTTTAACTTTTCAGAATTCGAGCTATGATCATCAAAAATTGTTAGGTTTTATAAAATAGGTAGATATTAAATTAATGCTTTTTTATGCTACTATTTACATTAATTTTTAAGACCTAAACATTTAATTTAAAAATAAAACTATATTAGTCTATAGTAAATCAAAGTAATTATTTACTCTGATTGCCACATTGACCTAGCTGTAAAGTTATCATTTCGCACGGCATTTTAATATCAAATGCTTTTCGTTATGAATCTAACAACTGCTCTTTTATTTGGCCTTGGAAATTTATAACAAGATTTTATGGTAAATTAAAAATTGCCGTGGCCTAATAAAAAAAAACAATTCACTATCGCGCTAATGACATTAAATCTTCGACCAAAAAAAGCTTGAAAGCGATTATGTCCGCGTTTCAGTTGAAACCATGGATATAGAAATATAGAAATCACACTGGATTTTACTTTGGACGTTCATGCGCTGTAAAGACTTAGGTTGCCAAGAATTGACCAATCACAGATTGAATATAATAAGAATACTCGACTATGATTGGTCAATTCTTATTTTTTTACTTATGATCTATCACTTATGGCTTATTGTAGAATGACACTAAAGCCTAGTTTACAATGGCCATAACACAAGGCTATAAGGCTGTTATATTTCTTGTATACTTTTAATATCATTAAATGCATTAGAATTATTTTAAATCTTTATCCAATGATCAAATATGAATTTAACTAATTAAATAGTCAATTAATGAGCTTAAATAGCATTCGTAAATTCTGATATGTTCAATTTGTTTTAATATAGCTTACATTAAAATACATTAAAATCATTTAGTGTTATTTAAAAAATCAAGATATCTTGAGTTTTTTATGAAAAAAAAAGATTTACGATTTTAGATAGCAAGTACTACAACTTGAGTAAATTAGAGAAAAGTTCACAATCTTTTTCGAAATATATAAATTTATAAAAGATCGAGTGAACGATTTTTTGAATCCTGTATAATATATTCTCAAGTTAATTCAAATTGCTATTTGAATAAAAGGATGCAGGATAAATTGAAATAATCTGTAAAATAAATATAAAAAGTTTTTTATCAGAGGAATCCTCACACTTTAATTTTTAAGTTAATTTGTAAGTTAAGAAGTTTTTATTAGGTTTTTATATCAAAAAGTATAAAAGAAAAAAATGTCTTCACCTCCCTTAATTTGTATAAAAATATATTTATTTGATATTAGGATTACAAAACATTTAACTTTCTTATTAAACTATTGAAATTATTAATTCCCATAAACATCCAAATTAATTCCCATCAACATTTTCATGTTTCAAAATAATCAGTTTTGTCAGCCATCTTTTTTTCATGATAAGTATCAATAGCAATGCACAATTTATTCCAGAGATCCACAAAATCATTTTTTGTTAAACCAATGTTGCAAAATTCTTTCAATAAAGTACAATTCTTTTCGGAAAATTCTATTCCTAAATCAATAAGTTAATATTTCTTATTATAAAGCTAAATCAAATTGTAATTTAGTGATTAATTCAATTAGCAAAATTTATTATAAAACTATTAATATATAATTTATCATCATTAATCTTATCTATAATCTTTATATATATATATCTATCAAATAAACACTTTATAATTCTATCTTAACAAAACATTATAGATATTATTTGAAAATTGCTGATTAAATTAATGAGTTTAGTCAAAGCATAGTTTTTAAGACTGTCTCATTGCAGCCATTGAATTACGTCAGAAGCGAAAAATGCAAAAAGTTTTTTATGTCGTATAGCTTTATTTTGTATTTTTCCCTTAAAAACATAATATTTTCATATTCTTAAAACTTAAAAAAATACCAGAAAGTAAGATATCTATCTAATAGATTACATAAAAGTATAAAATAATTCTTGTGATAGTACTGCTCAACTCTTAGAAATCAGCAGATCAAGAGATCTAGTTATTTCTGATAGCTGAGCAGTAACCATTATTTCAAGAATTATTTTATACTTTTATTGGACAAATATCTTACTTTTTGGTATTTTTTACAAGTTTTAAGAATATGAAAATATCACGTTTTTAAAGGAAAAGTACAAAATAAAGCTATATGATGCAAGAAACTTTTTACATGTCATTTCTTGCCTCTGACATCACACAACTCATGTCGAGAGTATCAAGCCTTAATACAAATAAAAAATAAATAATCTTTTTACCTATGTCTGTAGATTTGACTGTAAAAAAATGTTCAATACACCATGTTAGTTCCAAAAATTTCATTGCCCATTGAAATATCACATAGATTTTTTCAGTATCTACAGGGGAATGTACATGTACTAATATACCTCCATTATTCTGAGTATATTGTTTCGTGCTTACATATTTTTTTAATTCTAAACTATGTAGAATCTTAGCTCTAAAGATATTATTTTCATTATAATCAGAAAGTGCTAAAAAGAAATGTTTTTCAATATATTTTTTAATATATGAAATAATTATTGTAATAATATATCTTTATAATTAATTACCAGACATAAGAAGAGAAAAGTTTTTCATATTTGTAATTTTCTGAAACCAAGGAGATATTTCCAACATATAACAATCAGGAACATCTATAAAATGGCATAATATATTTTCGACTTTAAAATCATTTAAATTCTAGAAAAAAGAACAAAACATTAAAAAGGAAACAAAAAAATAATTTATTATAGAATTATAAAATTTTTATAATCTTTGTTGCACACCTTGGAAAACACTGTTAATTCAACATTGAAGGAAACTGTTTTTGTAATCACTTTACCTACATACATATAAACATCATCCTGTAACCAGTTTTTATTAATATTTTCGAATGTTATTCCTGCTGCTTGACTCGTAACTTTACACAATTTAGCATTGTATTTTGAAGATATTGATTTTAATAATTGTTGATCTTCATTATACGAAAACAGTGTGCTATAATTCAAAAAAAGTTACCTTTTAAAAAAAAGGAAAAAGATGACTGCATGTGAACTTGACAAGACATCTCTTGATAATTCAAAAATTGTAATGACATAAAATGGACATTTATGCATATTTATCTAACAACTAGTTACATATTGAAATTAATAGATGATCCTTGAGGTCCGTTTTCTTCTTGATTTTTAAACGTATCTCTCAAATGAATAATTTTTTTAAAGAGCTCTTCTTTCCGTTCACGCAATTGTATTATTTCCTCGTTCTCCATTTGTTTACGATATCACTTTATTATGGGCGCTTTTTAGCAACATACAATTCAACATAGGTCTCTAGTTATAGGCGGCGTTCCAAAAATCATCGCCAATACCAGTGAAAAGCCTGAGAGGGGCCATCCTGGCCTTTCTCGTGAAACCTCAACACTAGTGCCCTCAACTTCCATTTTAACATGTTGAAATTAAATTCTTCCATTTTCTGACATTGCCGAATCTTATGCCAATGGCTCTGCACACTGAACGCGACGAGCGACGAACGATGAGCGGTGTCCAATGAGAGCTTTGCTTTTGGGTGTGACGTTTGAAAAAGCAACGTTCCACTGGACATCGCTCGTTGCTCGTCGCGTTCAGTGTGCGAGAGCCATTACTGCTTAAGTTTTTCTATGTGCCAAGACCCTTATTAGATCTGGCAATACTGGTTCCAGTCATATGATTTATAGTTAATTCATTTTTGTGTGCATGTACATGGAAGAAAGGAGGTGTATTAATTTCTTTTGCACAAATATTTTAATGAAGTAATACGCAATGGCTACATCAAAGACTACAAATACATATAACAGACAAAATTGGGAAGATGCGGTAAACATAAAAAAATTCTTTACAATTTTCCTTTTTCTTTTATAAAGATAACATTTTTGTTTTATGCTTTCTTGTACTTTTTTTATTATATATTATGTATCATCTTACTTTTATTTTATATTGACTTTTTATTATATTCTTCTATAGGAATTTCCAATATTATGTCAAACGTGCTTAGGAGATAATCCATATATTCGTATGGTAAGTAATTTTTTGACCTTTTATTAGAAATGTCTTCAAGATTGCTATTTGAATTTCTTAATTACATGAATGACAATAATTATTTAATAAGAATTAATAATTTTCTTTTAAATAAATTGTCCTATAAATTGGCACAATAGTTTTATAAAATTTTATTTCATAAAATTTTATTATTTTTTATGTGCAGACAAAGGAGAGATATGGAAAAGAATGCAAAATATGCATGCGGCCATTTACAGTGTTTAGATGGTGTCCAGGTGCAAGGATGAGATTTAAGAAGACTGAAGTTTGTCAGACATGTAGTAGATTGAAAAATGTATGCCAAACATGTTTATTAGATTTGGAATATGGTTTGCCTATTCAAGTTCGTGATGCTGCTTTAAAAATTAAAGATGATTTACCTCGTTCCGATGTAAATAAGGAGTATTATGTACAAAATATAGACAATGAGATTGGAAAGATTGATCCGACAACACCTGCTGGTGCTGTTGGTAAATCTGCTGCAGCTAGTGATCTGTTGATGAAATTAGCTAGGACAAGTCCTTATTATAAAAGAAACAGACCGCATATTTGTTCATTTTGGGTAAAAGGCGAATGCAAGAGAGGTGAAGAATGTCCTTATCGACATGAGAAACCAACAGATCCTGATGATCCATTGGCAGATCAGAACATAAAAGATCGTTACTATGGTGTAAATGATCCAGTAGCAGATAAACTGATGCGCAGGGCAGCAGCTATGCCTAAGTTAGATCCGCCTGAAGATAAATCCATTACAACATTATACATTGGCAATCTGGGAGATGTATTAACAGAAAAACAGTTGCGTGATCATTTTTATCAATATGGCGAGATCCGTTCAGTGACCATGGTGCCACGTCAGCAATGTGCTTTCATTCAATATACACAGAGAAATGCCGCTGAGGCAGCAGCAGAAAGGACATTTAACAAGTTGATATTGGGTGGAAGACGACTCACCATAAAATGGGGCCGTTCACAAGGAAGACAGACTATATCTGCAGCTGAAGCAACAAGAGAAATTCTCGAACCTGTTCCAGGATTACCTGGCACATTACCGCCGCCACCAGAAAACACGGGTAGTAATTTCTTCAATCTGCAAACCACTCCTGGCATGATGCCACCAATGATGATCCCACCACCACCGGTTGCTCCTCAATTTATGTTTCCACCACAAATGGCAGCTGCAGCTGCACCAATTTTTCCTCCAGGAACGACCCCTATTCACTATCCGAGCCAAGATCCGTCCAGAATGGGTGCATCGCAAGGTATAGGCAAACCTTGGCCGGAGGAATAATGTAATAATGTAGTAATGCTATATGAATTTTTCATGTAATTTGTAACGGCAACATTATTTGGAACAAAAATATATCTTTGGTCTTTCTTTCATCTTTAACTTTTGTATTATTGATTTTCTATAATTAATATCCATCTCCATTTGATAAAATATCTAAATACAATTGAAATATTTGTAGATGATATATAGACAAAATGTTTACATTGCATGTTTACATTACGCGAGAAAATATATTTTTAATTTCATTATTTTTTGTTGTGCATCTGTAGGTATGGCAACAATATTGATTTTCAGTCTAACATAAGTTTAAGTCCTATAACATCGTCTTAGCTGATGCTAGAAATGTGGCAAGATAACGAAGTCAAATTTGATATTTCTCATTCGTAATTATAACACTTTAATTATTTTTAAACAATTTTTTTAGACTAAATGTGTCTATAAAAGTTTTGTTTTGTTTTTATATCTATACTCTTTACATTCATGACGAACAAAACAAAATGATAAAATAGTCACATTTATTACTAAATACGTAAGGCAAAAATAAATTATTAAATATTATATAAATATATTATATAATATTTGTAAAAAGGATTGATTCTTTTTTGTACATAGCAATATGCAATTACGATCTGGTGAATTTACTGTTGACAAACTTGATATGATAGAAGATACAAAAGGCAATGCTGGGGATTTAGGAAGATTGATTATCACTAATTTGAGGATCATATGGCATTCCTTAGCTTTGCCACGAATTAATTTAAGTATGAAATGATCAAAACTTTATCATGTATACATAAAATATAATTTATAATATGAAATATAGAGATACTTTTGTTACTTTCAAAAAAATAATACGTAATCATTTTATAGGCATTGGCTACAATACATTTATCACAGTGAACACAAAAATTCTTCATACGGTAAGAACTGTCCTAATGTATCATTGAAGTTAAAAGAGTAGCAAGCAAATATTTTCTTTTTAGATTCATAGTGTATATGTGCAAGCTCTTCACGTATTGACTTCATTTCGAAATTGTCGATATGAATTTATATTTACGAATCATGATACCAAAAGTACACGACACTACACTTCGGTTATAGGTGTTTACAGGTGATAACGCTGCTCATTCCTTCGATTATTACATGATTACCATTGTAATGATAATTGTTTCTATAAAACATCCGTTATAGAGCTTACATGTCATCAAAAATCTACAGAGAGATTAAATTGAGAAGCGGTATCATATGTGAAAATCGATTAGTTTTATTACCTCAAGAAAAGGTGCATTCTTCTGTACAAGATGTTTGGAATTTATCTATTGAACAGGTTTCAAACTTTAATTCTCACACACATAATTGTCATAATTAAAGAAGAAGATACAGTTTCTTTTTTTTCGTTATTAACTCAACATATTTATATCAACTTTTATTATTCTTTTTACATCTTAATCGATATTTTTTTTTAAACAAATTCTTGAATGTTTGTTTATAATTTGAAAGTAAATTTTAAAGTAAATTTTTTGCAATTTTGATTTATCACATTGTGAGTGATCAAGAATTAGTAACTTTTTTATAAAATTAAAATTTTTAAAAATTGGATGATCAAATCGGTTTGTTTATTTTTAAAAGGTAAAAAATATAAAAATAAGAAATATAAAAATTTGTCACAATATGTCACAATATCCTTTGTAATATCTTATCCTCTTTTTTCATTTCAAATCAAATCAAGTATACAAGTAGACATACAAGTAGACATTTGATATCAGTGAATGAAACGAACTAACTGAAATAAATCCAAATTAGTTTTGGTTTCTTTCATACCACGTTTATAATGTTCTGTTTTCTATGGTATTTGTTACAAATTGATATTTATTGACATTTTCATCATTTGTATGGACTTTTAAACGTTCCTATTTATATCATTTTTATTAATAATTCATAATCATAGTGTAATTCGTATTAATTACAATGTAATGTAACTTAATAAAATATGTCTATTCCATAAAAGAATTTTAAAATCTGGAATTTTAAAAAAATTTCTTTTTTACTTTTTAAAATTAAAGAGTACTATGAAACTTTATTGAAACTTAAAGAAATTTTCAAATTATGTTTTTAAATTATTAATAACTTTATTTTTATAATATTTTTATAATATAATATAAATTGTCAGAAAAATTGTTAGTTTTCCAATTATAAGAGAGAACTAACAATTAATATGACATATATATCTATGTACATAATCCTACAATTATATGTAACTTATAAATCTTTATAAAAAAAAATTTATATCCACCAGAATGAGTTATAAAGTCAAGTTATAAAGTGTTAATATCCAATATATTAAATGTTTCGCTCATAATTAAAAAATATTAAGAAAGCAATGAAATAAATTTCAAAGCTGCATTTAAGAATTCTATAATTTATTTTAGAGAATTTTAAATAAAAATATTTGGAAAATCCAAGAATTCTCAAAAAATTTTTTTATAAGATTAGCATAAATATTGGCGTAAATATTGCATTCAACAGAAAAAGCAGCTTTTCTACTGTTGTAAAATCCTTTAATATGATTGGTTTATACATTTAGATCCATGAGGAAATAAGGACAAAAACCAATCATATCAAAAATGTTTACAACATTTTGCAAAGCTGCTTGCTTCTTTTGCTGAATACATATATTTTTTGTCAGATAATGTGATAATTCTTCTTATTTTGGATATAAAAGTACTATAGTTGTAAAAAAAGTGAATAATTTATGAAGTATTTTACATTTTATGTCAGAACATGTCAGACTAAAGATAAGATATCTCAAACTATTGATTTTTTTATAATTGTATCTTGATATTTTTATATTCAGAATCCAGAAATCATATCATCAGTACTATCTGCAAATGAATCAATATCATAATATAGCTCCCACGATTATCTTACAATCTTTCTCTAAGTCATTTTTGTTTTAAACTTAAGAATTCTGAAGTATTCCAATAGATTGATTAAAATGAATATCTTGTATAACTTACACATATGTATAGAAATAAAAATACTTTACTTAAGAAATTGATATTTTGATCGTTTCTAAGTAAATATTAATATTTTCTTTCTTTCTTATTATGTGTAATAATCATTAATAAAAAATATTGTTTTTGAGGGAAATATTGGAACTTTCATTATAACAAATATACGGTTGGTATGGTATGCAGATGTGAATCATCAGTTTAACGTATCAATTCCTTATCTTACAATTGGAAATGTGAGTGTTAAATTATAAATGTGCATATTATAACGATAAAAATCATTAGATTGCTATATCTCTATAAAAATGTTGAAATAATTGCTGAATGATGAGATATGAAAGAATGTAACAAAAATTTTTTCATCATTTTTTATGTAGAATTTGTTGTAGCAAAAGAAAAAAATTTTTCTTTAATATTTCAAAATTATATATATCTTTAATATTTTAAAATCATCTACATATTTTTTAGATAAAACCATATAAATAAATTTATATTATTATATAAATTTCTCATATAAATCAACTTTTCTCAATATTTTATGAAAGATATTATCTAAAAATTAATTCTTCAAGAATTATTTCACATTTCATATCTTAAAATAAAAATTGAAAAACTTTTGTTCCATTAAATTTTATAAAAATGATGACGAAACGTCTTGTCACATATTTTTTTCATATTTCTTCTCATTAAGAGATTATCTATTTCAAACATCTTATATAGAAATATACTCAAATATATTTAACAGAATAAAAATTTGCGCACTTTATATTCTCCATAAATAAATTTTGTGCAGATTACTATAAGAACATCGAAATTTGGACCGACTTTAGTAATTTTAAGTACAGAGGCTAGCGGAGGATATGTCTTGGGTTTTCGTATTAATCCGTTGCAACAACTTCATATTACTCATAAAGAAATATCAATATTTCGTTCAGAATTCGAAAAATTTCCTATTTTTGGTGTAGAATATACGTTTGAGCATCAGGTATTTTATAACTAGTCTATATTTTATTAAAATTCATCAACAAGAAATAATTAGATCTAATTTTTTATTGTTATTTTTCGAGAAAATAATAGAAAATCTAATTTTAATTGTAAATCTTTATTTTTATTTTCTGAAATTGAACTGTTTTAAAGCTATTCTAAAATAACAACTAAAGATTATCAATATATTTTTTTATAATAACTATTAAGTGTTATATTACATTATATTATATTATAGGCACCTTTACAAGAAGAGATTAATGTGGAACATTTTACTGAAATACAAGATAATCAAGCTGAGATATCAAACGTATTTGGTTATTATTTTTCTGAGGGAGAAACAGGTCATAGAAAACCACACTTCTCGATTAATTTAGGCCTTGCAGCAGAAGAGCCAAGAGAAGGCAGCACACTGCAAACTTTATGGGAACTTGTACCATCATGCGTTAATTAATTTTTTAGCTTAATTTGTTTTTAAAATAAAGAAAAATAAATTATAACATTATTGTCATTTCATTCAGGGGATAAAAATAAATTCATTTTATACAAAGAGATATATAACATGATATATTATTAACTATATAAGACCTGAAATATAATCCTGTTCGTTTTTTGTATTGTTAACAACATGTTCATAATACCCAGTAAATAAGATTCTATTTTAAATCTTACAAAGATGTTTTGGCTTAATAGATTATTATATAGCAAAAGTGCTTACAGATATTGATGAAAAAAGAAAATAAATAATTAGGATTGAAATCACAATGACGGATTACATATATTAATAAATTTTCAATTATCTAGCCTTTTATATCGTTTTGTGTGTGTTTCTTGCAAGATTTAGCTTGGTCTACAATTCAAAGCTTGCGTTATTGGCTGATCATGTTGATCCTCACCATCTTCATCACTAAATTCATGCTGGGAAACAGGAAATCTATATCCCATGTTCATGAGCATTAATTCAAATGGATCACTGTTCATGCGAATTTGATTGGCTGATGCAGCATCATCTAGATTTTGAATTTCTCTTTCATTCACACTGCCATCCTGCAATATATGTAATAAAGTTAAATAAGAAGACAAATTTCAATTCTTATGAAATTATTGTTTTTTTTAAACATTTAGAGAAAATAAAATAAAAATAAGTTTTCGATTATAAGCTTTAATACTCCACTTCGAGATAAGATTTAATATTCCACTTCTCTTTTTTCATTTTCTTTTTTCTGCTGATCTCAATTTCTTTTTAAATAATTTTTTTAAATGATCTTATAAGTAATTATAATATAATTAGAAAAGTATTAGATTATAATAATACACGCATATATATACATTATAATAATCACGCATATATATACATATCTATTGTATACATTATATATATATTTACTGCAATAAAAATAATAACAAAAAAATATTACTTCTGGCCATGGACTCCACAATCTGATCACCGGATCAATGCCACTAGTAGCTAACAAACATATAGATGGATGTGGTTGTAAACAGTTAACAATTCTTTCATCTCCTCGTAGGACACGTACAATATTGGTAGTGTTACGATCCCAAATAAAAAAGGAACCGTCATCCGATCCAGCCACTATATATTGGCCATTGCTTAAGAAGAAAAGTTAATAATGTAATAATGCTTAAAATAAATCTTATGTAAGTAATATAAATTTCTAAAATTGGAACTGAATCAGTTGCTATAATTATATTATTATAATATTGCTATAAATTCATTTACTTTCCAAAAAAGTTTGCCTCTTTTATATCAGTTGTAGTATTACAATGGCCACAAAATCTCATTTTGTAATCGATTGTATTACGTCTCCATTCTTGCTCATATTCTGATACTGGGAAGAATGTCTGTTTGGTTTGTGTGATATCTTTTCCTAATGAATAATGTATTCGAATTAATTTTATAATAAATATTAATATTATATTAACATTTATTAAAGATGACTAATATATATTTTTATAATTATCAAGTGAAATCAGGAATAAATAAAAAGTAGAACCGTTATTAATTATTTCAATTATATAAATATTTGGACAATTAATTCATTATCAATATTTTTATCAATATTTTGCACATAAAAATATATAGCATAGTAATATATATTTTATGAAATTGTATCTTCAAAATTATTGATATAAATAATTATAGAATAATAATAGAAATGCATTTTATAAAAAAATACAATATCACTCTGTTATAACATCATGTGTGTTCTCTTTTTTCTTTCACATATAGTTTTCCTCCTCCCACACGTTCTCACACAAGCATACATATACATATATGTGCACAATGTTTTCATATTCAGAGTGATTCAAAGATGAAAATCAATCGCTCGGGAGATGATTGGAGATTCAAATATAAGAAAAAAAGTAGGAATAAATATAATTTCATAAACGAAAGACATAAGTACGTCATTTCAAATTATCATCACTTTTATGTTGAAATTTCAAATTGCTATGCTTTCAAACTTTTTGGCAAAATTGAAAGAAAAAAGGTTTTTCTGAATTTCTGAGTTTTACAACATAATTAAAGCTAGGATTCTAGATAATGTTGAAGCAGTCTGCAACTTTTATTTGAGTTTAATGTTATAAAACTCATAAAGACTATTTTTTCTTTAAATTTTAACAAACTCTTCTTTTATCCCAATCTTTTTTCTTGTTGTTGGACCCCCAATCATCTCTTGAGCGATCATCTTCTAATTTTGAAACATCCTGTATATAGAATATCCTTATCAAAACTACTACATTTTTTCATCAAGAAAGCTTATAAATAAAAGTAAAATTTCCAAAAATAGGTCTTTTACAAAACATCTCATTTTTTTAATTATACAATGAATTTGGCACTTCTTGATTGATTTTTCGTGTAAAAATTTTGATAATTCTGTTATAATTATGTCTAATATCCCATTTCTGTTTTTATAACGAAACAATTTATGAAATTTTAATTAAGTTAATACAAAATAATCTTTTTTCATAGCAAGATATATATAATCATGCAAGTTCGATATATCATGTTTTGCACGCGTGTGCGTGGATGTATGTATGCACGCGCGTACACGTGCGTTATATAAAATGTTATTTGTAAAAACTTAATTGATAATAATTCATATAATAGATTATTTAAATATTGATACACATTCTTATATTCTCATTTTTATTATCTTATTGAAAATATTAATAAATATAAATGTGTGTGTGTGTGTGTGTGTGTGTGTGTGTGTGGTGTGTGTGCGCGCGCGCGCGCGCCCGCGCGCATATATTACACTTATATATAGAATAATAATTAAAATATTACCAGCGTCGATAGCTTCCTTTATATCCATCTTTAATGCTCTACATGCTGAATTAGATGCGTATTCTGGAAACTTTTGTTGAAAATTCTTGAGTACCTTGTCAGCTTCAATTGACCGATTTAAATCAAACAGACAACGTGCCAATCTGTATATACATGTAAAGAAATTATATTAATAGATATCAATAACAGAATATATTTGTCTATTAAAAATAAAAAATTAAATTAAAAAGTTAGAATAACTACGTTAGAAGAAATAACTACGAAATTCATAAATTTCACATAAAATGTAAATTTGCATATAATTGAAATTTTTTTAAATTTTAAACAGTCATATAAATTTTCATCTCATAACGTGATTAAACATCCTTTTAAAATAAATTTTTCAATTGTAACGTTTATTAGTTTTACCTAAAATGAGCTTTTACATGTTCCGGGTCAAGAAGTAATGTCGTCTTGCAATCTCGTAAAGCGGCGTAAATATCACCATCCCTAGGAATATCATAATTATATACACGCACAGAAAGCACAAAAACACACAAACACATACACACGCGCTCACACGCACACGCATACGTACACAGGGTCCTTTAAAAGTATATAAACGGTCAAATAACTTGTTCCTGAAAATGCATCCCTGACATAGTTACTGTTTGCAATATGCAATGTGCTATCTTTTTTGAAAAATAACTATGTATCTTCTTTATACTAATTGATTCATCTCATTATTCTATGTTCTCATAAAAGTATTAAAATATAGTTAACGAAAAATGAATAGTTTACGAAATATTTTAAACTTTATGTCAAATTGCATATTATTATTCAAGCTTCATAACTTAGAAAATACTTAAAAAATACTTTATTATTTATTAGTGCAGAGTTTTTGAGATCAGCTACAAGAATATATAATCAAAAATGGGGATTCCCATTTAATAAAACAAAGTTGACTTTTATATAATCTTGGCAACGCAACAAGGTCAAATTAATAAGAACAGTAAATAGACTTTTTGAAACCCTACAACTTCTCATGTAACATTTTTTTCTAAAATGCATCCCTGATAAATTATTTGACTATTTCCAAACTTTTGAATGATTTTTGTATATGTATACACGATTTTAAAATTTATGATATACATACTGTTATCAGCGAGAATAATTACCAAACGCGTTTCATGTAAGCAGCTGCTCGATTAGCAAACAATACCGCTGCCGTTGGACAAAGCGAAATTGCTTTATTATACAGATTAATTGCTGATGAATATTTTTGCCGTTCAAAACTCTCGTTTGCCTGTTAATCAAAAAGTCATATTAAATATATCAAATAATAACTATAAATATATCAAATAATAATTTAAAAAATCTTTGTTTAACAAATTATAACTTGCATATATTTTGACTATTCTATCTGTTGAAATACTTAAGAAAAATTATGTGATAAGCAATTTTTTAACTAAAATAAGCAATTTTTTATTTTCTTAAAAGAACAGTTTTTTTACATCTTAAACTAGTTAAAATAATTTTTAGATATCTCTAAACATTTAAAATATAAATCAAATATATAAGTCTAGTCGTAGCACCAAAATTTTTGAAGCTAGAATTTTCTTCTATAAAGTTATTTTGTATTGACCCTTATATATTTCTTCTCAAAAATTGCTAAATTGATTTTCATATGTTCGTGATTAAAAAATTGTCAAATATAAATTAAAATATTTAATAAATATAATTATAAAAATATTTTATGAACAATATTTTAATCAATTTAATTATTGTATTATTAATTTTTTAAATTTATAAAATAATATAAATATACATGCACAATTAGAAATTAGGTATTACTGAATAATTTTCAAAACGCTTTATTACCTTTTAGAAGCATTATCACATTTTATGACAATAACAAATCAACTTTGTTTGCATATCACAAAGTAAACAACAAAATTATAATGATCAATATATAGTTTTAAATGTAGATCAGATACTGCAGATTTCTGCCATGTAATTAAGTTTATTTTTAGTAAAAAGAAAAAAAAATTTGGAAATAAAATTATCAACGAACAATTTTCTGTTTCTTACAACATTTACTGTTCTTTCTAAATCTTATGTTATACATTTCTTTTTAAAAGAAAGAGAAATTATGACTATTAAAGTTAAGAAATTGTGACTATTAAAATTAGAGATTAAAATTTAATTTTTACTTATTTTTATTAATTTAATTTTTTTATATTAAATTGTTTATTTATGTTTATATTCGTATTTCAATTACTATAACATGTTAAATTTGTTAAATATATATGTATATTTTATATCAGCATAATATTGAATTTTTCTCACAAAATATATTGCTGTTAACTATATATTGTAAAAATTTAAAAACCATAATCTTTATATTAAATTTTGAGTAATTTAAAAAAATACATATTTTAGTTGTCATCTTGCATATTATTATTACTTTTTTAAAACATAAAGCATTGTTTGCATAACAAAGAAAAAAATGCCAAAAATTTTTATAATATGAACTTTTAAATAGAAAGTATTTAAATATAACAATCTTGGAATTAGTGTCTGTTCACATTTAGTACCTTTGGTGTATAATCAAAAAATATCTTATAAGATATCAAAATGAAATACATAAAAATGTATAAATTGAAAATGAAATAAACAGAATATTTAGAATATATTATATAGACATATTAGATTTTATAGAGACTATTATAGAGACATATATAGTACAAAGAAATAATATGTTTGTTGCAAAATATATTTCTTTGTTGAACATTACGAATTTTTTAATTTAACATACAGAGTGTTCATCATATCGTGTTCTATTAAGTATCTATTAAGAACATGTTCCTCAAGTAATTTTGAGATCAAAATCTTAATACAAAAATGTCAAAGCTATAATTTCTTTCAAATTATGAATGATCAAAGTTGAATGACCAATTGTAGTAGTTAAAGTTCGCGTGCTCAGACATAGTACAACGTATAGTGAAGAAGTATTCCCCATTGCCTCTTATTTTAATGTCAATACTGAAATTATATACGCAACAGCATTGCAATAGCAAGATTCTTAATAATTTAATAAATTAATTTTTGTATATCGTTGCATATTATGGGCTGAAAAATCTAAAGAAATCTGAATCCAAAGAAAATAAAAAAATTCTAAAAAAAATCTAAAGAAATGTCAAATGTGCCTTAATTTTACAAAGTTATTATCTGCATGTATAAAGTATAAAAATTTATTCAAATAATATTTTGCTATTGCAATGATATGTATGTAATTTCATGTTGACATTAAAATAAGGGGATAATGGATATACTCCTTTATCACTGTATGTTATATCATACCTGAGCGTAAAGTAAAACTTTAACCGCGACAATTATTCAATTTTAATTGTTTATAATTTGAAAAGTATTTTATAGCTTCAACATTTTCGTATTAAGATTTTCGTCTCAAAATTATCTCAAGAACATTTCCTTAAGAAATAATATGATAATAGCGGAACACTTTGTATACAATAATATAAGAAACAACTTTGTATAAACTTACTTGGCATTTTAATTCTTCAATATGTGATGGCAATATCTTTACATTCCTGATAACAAAATCTTCCGCATCACTTATGTCGCTTTGTTTTCCATATTTGTCAAATCTTTGTTCCCATTCGATTGACTCTATTAAAAAGTGAATTATCATGTATACGATAATAATTTACATTCGTGCATACATTCAATAAAAACGATAATTGTTACCTGAATATTTCCACGATGAATCAAAAAATATTTTTGACCTATTTGGATCGTTGATATCAAATAAATAAATTTGTTCTCCACCCATATTGACAAGTAATTCATTTCCATCATCGCTAAATGTTAAATAAGTGCTTGTAATGCTCTTATTACCATCACGAGAACGGAGATGGCCTGCTCCATAGACCAAATAATAATTTCAATTAAAATAATCTTGTAATATTTGGCAAAAAAGGAAAATAGGGATAAAGGGAGCGCATACGCTATTTCTGTACGAACAAACCCGCGATAAAGTACTGCGCGCTACCCAATGGAATATTGTCATCTGGATCGCCTTTGCCTGCTCGATATGTACTAATATTTGCCCAATCTGAATTATCATGTATAGAAGGAGATGGAGGCACCTATAATTTAAAAAACAGAATATTATATGTAATTTATATCATCATCAGTTAAGAAAAAAATAGAATTACCTGCGATAATTTTATCATTCGTCTATCATACATCCGAATATAAGCATCGTTAGCACCAATGGCTACCAACTCAGGCTTTCTTGGATTTACAGCGATGCATTTGCCCTCTGCATAACGACCCATATGATACACTAGATTTACAAGTACGCTGCGATCATTACTCCTGCAAACGTGTGGTGTACGAATGTCATATTGCAGAAAGAGACCATCCTCGCCCGCGCTCCAAAACAAGAACGGTATACTAGGAACAGTAGCAATACGTTTGATACGTTGTTTATGGCATTTACATGTGAATATTGGTTCGGAAAGAGTGAGATCATGCACCCGAATTCTGCAATCCGCTGCACCTGATACCAGTATGCTGTCACTTGATTTTGGCATAAACTAAAAATAAATACAAATATAAAAATAAATATTTCACACATTTTGAAGACATTCATTATTCAATGCAGTGTGTTATTTTACATTTTGCAAAAACAATGAGTTTATCAATTCTAAAAGAAGTCATTAAAAAGAAATAGAGTATTAGTAAAATAAAGTATTAGTAAAGTATTAGAAAGAAATAGATTCGTTAATATTATTTACCTTTACAGAGAAAATATTTCCACGATGGCCTGAATGAAGTACTAACTTTTTTTCATAACGAAAAGGATCCCATAATATAATATCTTTATCATCTGACGCTGATGCCAAGATTCTAGCATAAATGTGTAAAATATATTTTAATTATTAATGAAATAATTATTAGTTAAAAGATTAATTGAAAAAATATAGATACAACATAAATACATACTGTCCAGTCTCATTCCATTCTAAACAATTGACACATCCCGAATGACCATTTAATTCTTTTTCTAAACCCAAACGTAATATTAAACTTTCAGTAACATGTAGTTTTTGTAGAATTATATGTGTCATTGAATCCTAAAATATTAATTAAACATATAATATAATTGCATATTTAATTATAAAACTTAATAAATATATAAAATATAGAAATTATTCAACATCTCACTTGTATTTCTCTTTGACGTATCAAATCCAGGACTCTGTAGTCCTTCTTATGAATATTGGGAAACATTTCACTGGAAAATATTCCGTTTATTGTGGCACAATATAAATTAATATTTCCTGTAAATAAATATAAATAAAAATATATATATATGTAATAAAAAATATATATAAAATTAAAAATTTTAAATATATAAATTTAATAGTTGAAAAACAATTTATTATAACTTAATAATATAATTACTACTATAATTTATTAAGACAACAAATATTAAATAAACAATGTATTTCAATATATATAAAATATACAACTTGCAAAAGTCTTTTATTTTTTATATAATCATTTTAAAAATATCTATATTTATTAGCAATTATTATCATTGACAAATAAATTAAGTTATCATATATAAAATAACTGTACGATCTTTATAGCTTCTATAATAAAAAAATTATATATTAATATTTTCAGACAAGGAGATAATGATATTCCAACATTGTTCTCAAGTATTATGAGAAATCTCAATAATCCTTCTACTTCGATAAACATGTTCCTTTTAGTTAAACTTGAATTCTTTATCTTTCTTTTTTCTTCAACATAGAAAGAAAAGAAAAATAAATAATGCAAATTCAGCTAAAAAGAGCAAGCCTATCATCGCAATAATACACATAACCAATATAGTAAAATTATATGTAAAAAATCATAATTATTTATATATATATATATATATATATATGCATGTGTTGTGTGTGGGATGTGTCATGTGTGTGTGTGTGTGTGTGTGTGTGTGTGTGTGTGTAAAATTTTCAATGATATATTTAAATGAGATTTTTAATATTATAAATGTATTTAAAAATATAATGCGAATAGACCTACTCACTTATTTAAAACTCTTTGTATACGAATTTCGCACCAAACCAATTCGTACATTTCATACAAGTACTTATCCATGGCATAATCAAGAGCACAACACTGAGTGAAAAGCATAAGCAACAAATAGTTATCTCACTCTTCGTTAAAATATGGATATAAAATACTCTAGAAAGTATAATAAAGAGAAACACACAGAAGGGAGAAAGAAGAACGCGGGAACAAAGAAAAAGAGAAAACTTCCTTGCATACATGCGAGAACGCAAAATAATGTGAACCAATCAGTTTCTGCTAGTGTTATTTCCAAGGAGTCAATTGTGTATTTTAAAACGAAGTAAAATTACAAAAGCGAGGAAATTTCGCTTAAATATTTGCAACTTCATATGACGAAAGTTAATAAATTTCCTTATTTTTGTAATTTTCATCTTTCTTCAAAATACACAAATAAGGCTGATACACAAATAAGGTTATTCATAATCAATTCTTATATTAAACCAGCGGCACACGATGCTTTTTTTCTTGCTGATTTGCTAGCTGGATTTGCGTGCTCGTTGAGCTCTTGTCTCTGATTGGTATATTCTTTTGGATCTAAAGAAATATACCAATCGAAGACAAGAGTGCAACAAGCACGCGAATCTAGCTAGCAACCAGCAAAAAAAAAAGGCATCGTATGCCGCTGGTTTTAAAGCCTAGTCTCGGAACTTAGTTCCGATCTACAATAAGTGATTTAAGCCTTAAGCCATAAGAAATGAACAAATCATAGTTGAAGAATAGAGGAATAATCGACTATGATGGTCAATTTCTTATGGCTTAAAGCTTAAATCACTTATTGTAGATCGAGACTATGCGTTAGTGTCGGTCCACAATAGATGATTTAAGAAGTAAGAAATTGACCAATTATAATCGAATATGAAAAAAATACTCGACTATGATTGGTCAATTTCTTACGGCTTAAAGATTAAATCACCTATTGTGAACCGACACTAAGGTGACTGTTTCAAGTGATTATTCGGTACATACATACATACATACATGTGTCAAGGATTCAATATTCAGTACTGTTTGCAATTTGTGTGACTTGTGTAGTGGTCTGGAAATAATTGACGATATTTTTATAAACTTTTATTTATATATTAATTTAGTACTCTTTTTATGCGTGAATATAATAAAGGTATGTAACGATATGTACATTTATATGGTTAATCTATATTTATATTGATCAGTTATCGTTTATAATCATTGGTCTGTGTTATGCTGTTAATTTTATATCTTATAATAAATTTGATCATTTAATTAAAATATTTTGATATGAAATGAATGTTATAATGAAAGAATTAATATTTGGTTATAAGTGCATTTTCTTTTCTAATTATAATGAATTAATTATCTTAAAAAGTTTTATATTGCAACGTATGAGAAATATAAGACATATTTTATATTATAATTTCTTAGTATAATCTTTATAATATGAATGAATGTTAAATCATCTTTTAAGCAATTTGTTTTTGCATATTTATGTTGTTACATTAGATGTCTGGAAACAAATGTCGTAATTGTGGATCTACCAACATTGAGACTGATCCAGGACGTGGAGATGCAATTTGTATAGAATGTGGTTTTGTACTAGAAGATTCAGTTATTATTAGTCAAACAACTTTTGAAGAATCATCTTCTGGTAAAGTAATGGTACTTGGACATTTTGTTGCTAATGATAGCACAGGTAGTGCTACAAATTTTGGTGCACGTAAGTAATTTAAATAATATAAATACATTTTTTCTTGAAAAGTATATTAAAAATATCCATAAAATCTTTTTTATTCTAGCATATTATGTTAATGGAAAAGAATCCAGAGGAATCACTATACAAAATGCAAGGAAAGGTATAACACATCTTTGCTTGCAACTAGGGTAAATAACATTTTGATATATTTATTAACAAAAATCTTTTTGTTAAATAATTATTTTTTACAAATGTAAAATTTTAACTCTAGATTAAATCAAAACTGCATTGAAACATCTGTAAACTTTTATAAAATGGCTTTGAATCATCATTTGACACGTGGAAGAAAACAAGCTCACAACCAGGCTGCTTGTGTATATATTACTTGCCGTGTTGAAAGAACTGAACGTATCCTTTTGAAAAATAGAAAAAAATTTTAATAATGAAAAATGTAAATTAATGCATTCATATATCT